CCGGGCCCGTCCCCCCCGGGCCCGGGAGCGGCCGCGGGAGACATGGCGAGCAGAGACCCCTCCCCAGGCCGGGGGGGCTGTGCTTCCTTCCCTGGGAGCGCTCAGCCGCTCTGCAAACAGAAGCAAACACCCCATGAAAGCGGGCACAGGTGTCCCGGCCGCTCTGCTTTCTTGCTGGCCGCCAAGTCACCGGGCAGAGCTCTCTGCCGCTAGTATGCCGTAGAACAGTGAGTCAGTCCGTGAGTCAGGAAAGCTGGCGCCCAGAAACCCCTGAGTATGTCATTTGATGAAGATATTCAAAAAAGAGGAAAGTCATTTGCCCTACCTCGAGGAGTGTCTTTAAAACAAAACAACAAAAGTAACAGGGTGTGGCTTTTCCTGTTCTGAGTTTTACAAACTCACTTCCCTGGGAGAAAAACACTGGGGAATGAGGGAAGAGCCAGAGGGATTATTTCTGATGTACAAATGCCCCGTTGTTCCCCACAGCTGCTCTGAGCACTTGCAAGTCGGTAAATTTTTGCTCAGTCACTAACTTTCCATTTCCTGTTCTAGACTAAGGCAACTTTCCATTTCGTGTTTTAGTCTAAGGCTACCTTGACAGAAGACTCAAGTTCAACAGTTTCAACAATGAGAAGGTGATTCAGGAATGCAGTGGGTTTGGTGGCCTTTTAAACTAAGTCTATCAAATGTGGTCCTTGGGTTCTCAACAGACACACAGGTGGCTCAGTTGCCTGGGCCCGGGGTGACCCTGGAGAGGCTGCTGCCGAGGATCAAATGGAGCCCGACTCCAAGGCAGACAGGTACCCTAAGGCAGGTGGCCTCTCACTCACCCTCTGCGATGCCACTCACTTCCAAAAGAGCTTGAGACTCGATTAAAAATATGCAGCTGATACAATCGCCAGTTACCAAGCACTAAACACCAACAAAAGTTGACTTTGACAGGAGAGTGCAGGCGGAAACAAGCGAGAAGGCACCTTTCACAAAAATCACCCTCGCCCAGGACTCAAGGGTGTTATGTATTAAATACACTAAGCGGTTGTCAGAGCTGTCTAGTTCACGCAGACCTGACTTGATGATCTAGTTATCTTGTTTTACTCCCATGAATGAGCTATTTTACCAGGACCCTGTAAGGTGGACCCCACACTCGCAATGACACTCCAAAGTCAAGAAGACAACTGACATTTGCCCAAGGAAAGAAAACTTTTAAAATATTTGGTGCCACTTGCATCCACACTCACATGAAGGAGTTCAAGGCTGCGGCTCCAAGGCCAAGACCAAAATCATGTTGAAGAAAGCTCAGTTTAGGTAAAGAGAGCAAACGGCGAATCTTACACTAGGAAGTACTTTTCCAGGAAAAAAAAGTAAGATAAAATCAGAAGGAAGTTGGAGAAAAAGGGAAATACAGGAGGGGAAAAAACCTTTCATTTCAAACTTGGGAAGAGGATACTTTGGGAAGATGCGGTCAGGCTCAGACAAAGACTTAAAGAAGGCATGGCACCGATTTGAAAACAACTTTTCTTCCAAACCCTGTCGTCGCTTTTGCTGGCTTCAGGGCTGAGGGCGAGAAGAGCGGTTCTCAGCTACAAGGTCCTTTCAGGCAGCCGCTGTATTTCTGGTGTCGTCGACTGGGCCGTGGGTCACGAGGCCTCCGCGGTCTTAAGGCAAATTCCCAGGCCCCGGCGGAGGAAGCAGAAGCAGCCCCAGACTGGACCGGCGGCCTTCTGTCCCGGCGGGGGCTGAGCGCCAATCCCCCACACCGGG